TGGGGGGTCATGGGGGGGGCAAGGGGGGCTCAATGGGGGTTCAAGGGGGGGAACAAGGGGGTTCATGGGGGGCAAGGGGGGCTCAATGGGGGTTCAAGGGGGGAACAAGGGGGTTCATGGGGGGCAAGGGGGGGTTCAAGGGGGGAACAAGGAGGGGTCAAGGGGGGTCATGGGGGGGCAAGGGGGGCTCAATGGGGGGGGTCAAAGGGGGAAAAAGCAGGTTCATGGGGGGTTCAAGGGGGGAACAAGGAGGGGGCAAGGGGGGCTCAATGGGGGAACAAGGGGGGTTCATGGGGGACAATGAGGGGTCATGGGGGGCAAGGGGGGTCAAGGGGGTGTTCAAAGGGGGAACAAGGGGGTTCATGGGGGGCAAGGGGGGTTCAAGGGGGGAACAAGGAGGGGTCAAGGGGGGTCATGGGGGGGCAAGGGGGGCTCAATGGGGGGTTCAAGGGGGGAACAAGGGGGTTCATGGGGGGCACAGGGGGGTCAAGAGGGGTTCATGGGGGGCACAGGGGGGTCAAGGAGGGTTCATGGGGGGCAACGGGGGGGTTCAAGCGGGGGTCATGGGGTGCAACAGGGAGGTCATGGGAGACAAGGGGGGCTCAATGGGGGGGTTCAAGGGGGGAACAAGGGGGGTTCATGGGGGGCAACGGGGGGTCATGGGGGACAAGGGGGGGTTAAGGGGGGTTCATGGGGGGCAAGGGGGGGGGCCTCAAAGAGGGGGCCAAGGGGGGCAAGGGGTAGCTCAAGGGGGTTTCAAGGGGGCACAAGAGGGGTTCATGGGGGGGCAAGGGGGGTTCAAGGGGGGGCTCATGGGGGCCAAGGGGGACTCAAGGGAGGGGCAAAGGGGACAACAGGGGTTTCAAAGGGGGGACAAGAGGGGTTCAAGGGAGTTCATGGGGGGACAAGGGGGGGGCTCAAGGGGGTGTAATGGGGGTGCAATGGTTTTCAATGGGGCTGTGCAAGGGCACAGGGATGGGTGTAGGAGCCGGGCTTTGAGCCCCCCCCCCCAATGGGGTGGGGCTGGGGTATGTGGGGGGGGGGGGGTGCGATGGGGGCTGTTCCTGGTGCCCCCCCAGGTGGTGCTGGCGCTGCCGTACGACACCCCCGTACCCGGGTACCGCAACAACACCGTGAACACCATGAGGCTCTGGTCGGCCCGCGCGCCCTGCGACTTCAACCTGAAGGACTGTGAGAAACGGCCCCAAAAGAGCCCCAAAACAGCCTGAAACAGCCCCAAAACAGCCTGAAACAGCCCCAAAACAGCCTGAAACAGCCCCAAAACAGCCTGAAACAACCCCAAAACAGCCTGAAACACCCCAAAACAGCCTGAAACACCCCAAAACAGCCTGAAACAACCCCAAACAGCCTGAAACAACCCCAAACAGCCTGAAACAACCCCAAAACAGCCTGAAACACCCCAAAACAGCCTGAAACAGCCCCAAAACAGCCTGAAACAACCCCAAACAGCCTGAAACACCCCAAAACAGCCTGAAACAACCCCAAACAGCCTGAAACAACCCCAAAACAGCCTGAAACAACCCCAAAACAACCCTAAAACAGCCCAAAACAGCCTGAAACAGCCCCAAACAGCCCCAAACAGCCTGAAACAGCCCCAAAACCGCCTGAAACAGCCCAAAACAGCCTGAAACAGCCCCAAAACAGCCTGAAACAGCCCCAAACAGCCTGAAACAGCCCAAAACAACCTGAAACATCCCAAACCAGATCCAAAACAACCTGAAACAGCCCAAAACAGCTCCAAAACAACCTGAAACAGCCTAAACCAGCCCCAAAACAACCTGAAACAGGCCTGAAACAACCTGCTCCAAAACAGCCTGAAACAGCCCCAAACAGCTCCAAAACAGCCCAAAACAGCTCCAAAAGAGCCTGAAACAGCCCCAAAACAGCCTGAAACAGGCCCCAAAACAGCCCCAAAACAACCTGAAACAGCCTGAAACAGCCCCCAAACAACCCAAAACAGCCCCCAAACACCCTGAAAAAGCCCCGAAACAACCTGAAACAGCCTGAAACAGCCCCGAAACAGCCTGAAAGAGCCCCGAAACAGCCTGAAAGAGCCCCGAAACAGCCTGAAACAGCCCCCGAAACAGCCTGAAACAGCCCCGAAACACCCTGAAACAGCCCACAAACAACCTGAAACAGCCCCATAACACCCTGAAACAGCCCCAAAACAGCCCCAAAACAACCTGAAACAGCCCCATAACACCCTGAAACAACCTGAAACACCCCAAAACAGCCCCCAAACAACCTGAAACAGCCCCCAAGCAGCCTGAAATAGCCCCAAAACGCCCTGAAACAGCCCCCAAACAACCTGAAACAGCCCCCAAGCAGCCTGAAATAGCCCCAAAACACCCTGAAACAGCCCAAAACAGCCCCCAAACAGCCTGAAACAGCCCCCAAGCAGCCTGAAATAGCCCCAAAACACCCTGAAACAGCCCAAAACAGCCTGAAACACCCTGAAATACCCAGGCACAGCCCCAAAACCCCCTGAAAGAGCCCCCAAACAGCCTGAAACAGCCCCAGAACACCCCTAAGCAGCCTGAAAGAGCCCAGGAACACCCTGAAAACCCCCCAAAACACCCTGAAACAGCCCCAAACCATCCCGGAACAAGCCCAAAATGACCAAGAACAGCTCCAAAAACACTCTGAAAGAGCCCAGGAACACCCTGAAACAACCCCAAAACACCCTGAAACAGCCCCAAACCATCCTGGAACAAGCCCAAAATGACCCAGAACAGCCCCAAAACACCCTGAAACAGCCCCAAAACACCCTGAAACAACCCCCAAACACCCTGAAACAGCCCCAAAACACCCTGAAACAACCCCAAAACACCCTGAAACAGCCCCAAAACACCCTGAAACAGCCCCAAAACACCCTGAAACAGCCCCAAACCATCCCAGAACAAGCCCAAAATGACCAAGAACAGCTCCAAAACACCCTGAAAGAGCCCAGGAACACCCTGAAACAACCCCAAAACACCCTGAAACAGCCCCAAACCATCCTGGAACAAGCCCAAAATGACCCAGAACAGCCCCAAAACACCCTGAAACAGCCCCAAAACACCCTGAAACAACCCCAAACACCCTGAAACAGCCCCAAAACACCCTGAAACAACCCCAAAACACCCTGAAACAGCCCCAAAACACCCTGAAACAGCCCCAAAACACCCTGAAACAGCCTGAAACACCCTGAAACAGCCCCAAACCATCCTGGAACAAGCCAAAAATGACCCAGAACAGCCCCAAAACACCCTGAAACAACCCCAAAACACCCTGAAACAACCCCAAAACACCCTGAAACAGCCCCAAAACACCCTGAAACAGTCCCACCCCCCCTGGAACAGCCCCAAACCCAGCCCTAGAACACCCCAACCCAGGCTGAAACAGCCCCAAACCACCCCGACCCCCATGAACCCCCTGTTCCCAATGACCCCCCCTTCCCGTGTCCCCACAGTCAATGTCGGGGGGTACGTTCAGGCCGTGCTGGACCGGAACCTGGCTGAGAACATCTCCCGAGTGCTGTACCCCAATGACAACGTGAGCGGGGCCCTATGGGGGGCACTATGGGGGGCACTATGGAGGGTCCTATGGTGGTCACTATGGGGTCACTATGGAGGGGCACTATGGGGGTGACTATGGGGGTCACTATGGAGGGTTCTATAGGGGTCACTATGGGGTCATTATGGGGGTCACTATGGAGGGTCACTATGGGGGTCACTATGGAGGGTCACTATGGGGGTGACTATGGGGGTCACTATGGGGGTCACTATGGGGGTCACTATGGAGGGTTCTATAGGGGTCACTATGGGGTCATTATGGGGGTCACTATGGGGGGTCACTATGGGGGTCACTATGGGGGTCACTATGGAGGGTCCTATGGTGGTCACTATGGGGTCACTATGGAGGGTTCTATAGGGGTCACTATGGGGTCATTATGGGGGTCACTATGGGGGGTCACTATGGGGGTCACTATGGGGGTCACTATGGGGGTCACTATGGAGGGTCACTATGGGGGTCACTATGGGGGGTCACTATGGGGGGCACTATGGAGGGTCACTATGGGGGTCACTATGGGGGTCACTATGGGGGTCACTATGGGGGTCACTATGGGGGTCACTATGGGGGGTCACTATGGGGTCATTATGGGGGTCACTATGGAGGGTCCTATGGTGGTCACTATGGGGTCACTATGGAGGGTTCTATAGGGGTCACTATGGGGTCATTATGGGGATCACTATGGGGGGTCACTATGGGGGTCACTATGGAGGGTCACTATGGGGGTCACTATGGGGGTCACTATGGGGGTCACTATGGGGGTCACTATGGGGGGTCACTATGGGGTCATTATGGGGGTCACTATGGAGGGTCCTATGGTGGTCACTATGGGGTCACTATGGAGGGTTCTTAAGGGGTCACTATGGGGTCATTATGGGGGATCACTATGGGGGGTCACTATGGGGGTCACTATGGAGGGGTCCTATGGTGGTCACTATGGGGTCACTATGGAGGGTTCTATAGGGGTCACTATGGGGTCATTATGGGGGTCACTATGGGGGGTCACTATGGGGGTCACTATGGGGGTCACTATGGGGGGGCCTATGGGGATCACTATGGGGGGTCACTATGGGGGTCATTATGGGGTGTCCTATGGGGGGCACTATGGGGGTCACTATGGGGGTCATTCACTATGGGGGTCACTATGGGGTCACTATGGTGGTTCATTATGGGACTCTGGTCACTATGGGGGTCACTTGGGGGTCACTCTGGGGGTCTAATGTGGGGGTCACTGGAGGGTCTCTAGGGGGTCACTACTGGGGAACTACGGGGGGGTTCACTATTGGGGGGGGTCACAAGGGGTCATAGGGGGGGTCAACTTGGGGGGGCATGGGGTCACTCTGGAGGGTCCTATGGGGGGGGTCACTATGGGGTCATTATGGGGGTCCACTATGGAGGGTCCTATGGGGGTCACTATTGGGGTCATTATGGGGGTCACTGGGGGGGGGTCACTGGGGGGGGGGGCTATGCAGAGTCTATCACGGGTCACTATGGGGGGGGGGCCCTATGGGGATCACTATGGGGGGGGGGGGGTCACTATGGAGAGTTCTACAGGGGTCACTATGAGGTCATTATGGGGGGTCCTATGGGGATCACTATGGGGCACTGTGCGGTGCTATGGGTCACTATGGGGTGCTGTAAGTCACTATGGGTCACTATGGGGTGCTATGGGTCACTCTGGGGCGCTGTGGGTCCCTGAGCGCCGCTATGGGTCACTATGGGGCGCTGTGGGTCCCTGAGCGCCGCTATGGGTCACTATGGGGCGCTGTGGGGCGCTATGGGTCACTATGGGGCGCTGTGGGGCGCTATGGGTCACTCTGGGGCGCTGTGGGTCCCTGAGCGCCGCTATGGGTCACTATGGGGCGCTGTGGGGCGCTATGGCGCGCTGTGGGTCCCTGAGCACCGCTGTGGGTCAGTTCTTCGAGGGCAAGGAGCTGCGGCTCAAGCAGGAATACTTCGTGGTGGCGGCGACGCTGCACGACATCGTCCGGCGCTTCAAGTCCGCCAAGTTCGGGAGCCGCGACCCCGTGAGGACCTCGTTCGAGTCCTTCCCTGACAAGGTGAGAGCCAAAACCTGCCTGAAACACCCCAAAACACCCCAAAACCCGCCGGAAACACCGCAAAATACCCCAAAACCTGACTGAAACACCCCAAAATACCCCAAAATCTGCCGGAAACACCCCAAAACACCCCAAAACCCGCCGGAAACACCCCAAAATACCCCAAAATCTGCCGGAAACACCCCAAAATACCCCAAAATCTGCCAGAAACACCCCAAAACACCCCAAAATCCCCCGGAAACACCCCAAAATACCCCAAAACCTGACTGAAACACCCCAAAACCCCCCGGAAACACCCAAAAACCCGCCGGAAACATCCCAAAATACCCCAAAACCTGCCGGAAACACCCCAAAATACCCCAAAACCTGCCTGAAACACCCCAAAATACCCCAAAACCTGCCAGAAACACCCCAAAACACCCCAAAACCTGCCGGAAACACCCCAAAATACCCCAAAACCTGCCGGGAACACCCCAAAACACCCCAAAACCTGCCGGAAACACCCCAAAATACCCCAAAACCTGCCGGGAACACCCCAAAACACCCCAAAACGTGCTGGAAACACCCCAAAATACCCCAAAATCTGCCGGAAACAACCCAAAACACCCCAAAACCCGCCGGAAACACCCCAAAATACCCCAAAACCTGACTGAAACACCCCAAAACCCCCCGGAAACACCCCAAAACCCGCCGGAAACACCCCAAAATACCCCAAAACCTGCCGGAAACACCCCAAAATACCCCAAAACCCACTGGAAACACCCCAAAATACCCCAAAATCTGCCAGAAACACCCCAAAACCCAACGGAAACACCCCAAAATACCCCAAAACCCACTGGAAACACCCAAAAATACCCCAAAACCTGCCAGAAACACCCCAAAACCCGCCAGAAACACCCAAAAATACCAGAAAAAACCAATTGAAACACCCCAAAACCCACCTGAAACACCCCAAAACCCACCAGAAACACCTCAAAAAACACCAGAAACACCCCAAAACCCACCTGAAACACCCCAAAATCCCCCCAAAACCACCTGAAACACCCCAAAATACCCCAAAACCCACCTGAAACACCCTAAAACACCCCAAAACAGCCTGAAACACCCCAAAAATACGCAAAACCAGCCTGAAACGCCCCAAAACACCCCAAAACCTGTCCCATCCATGCCCCCTCTGTGTCCCATCCGTGTCCCATTTGTGTCCCTTCCATGTCCCATCCATGTCCCTTCCATGTCCCCTCCATGTCCCATCCGTGTCCCCCTCCATGTCCCATCCATGTCCCTTCCATGTCCCAGCCATGTCCCTTCCATGTCCCCTCCATGTCCCATCCGTGTCCCCATCCATGTCCCTTACATGTCCCCTCCATGTCCCCTCCATGTCCCCTCCATGTCCCATCCATGTCCCCTCCATGTCCCATCCGTGTCCCCCTCCATGTCCCATCCACGTCCCATCCATGTCCCCCTCCATGTCCCCCTCCATGTCCCCATCCCTGTCCCCATCCCTGTCCCCATCCATGTCCCCATCCATGTCCCCTCCATGTCCCCCTCCTTTTCCCTTTCCCTGTCCCCATCCCTGTCCCCTTCCATGTCCCCATCCATGTCCCCATCCATGTCCCTCCATGTCCCCTCCATGTCCCCTCCATGTCCCATCCATGTCCCATCCATGTCCCCTCCATGTCCCCATCCATGTCCCCATCCATGTCCCCATCCATGTCCCCATCCATGTCCCCTCCATGTCCCCTCCGTGTCCCATCCATGTCCCCATCCATGTCCCCTCCATGTCCCATCCGTGTCCCCCTCCATGCCCCCTCCATGTCCCATCCATGTCCCATCCATGTCCCATCCATGTCCCCATCCATGTCCCATCCGTGTCCCCATCCATGCCCCCTCCATGTCCCATCTATGACCCCTCCATATCCCCATCCATGCCCCCATCCATGTCCCATCCATGTCCCCTCCATGTCACATCCATGTCACATCCATGTCCCCATCCATGTCCCATCCATGTCCCCATCCATGTCCCATCCATGTCCCCATCCATGTCCCATCCATGCCCCCATCCATGTCCCATTCATGTCACATCCATGTCCCCATCCATGTCCCCATCCATGCCCCCATCCATGTCCCCTCCATGTCCCCATCCATGTCCCCCTCCATGTCCCATCCGTGTCCCCTCCATGTCCCATCCCGTGCCCCAGTGCCGTGTCCCTCTCCCCACAGGTTGCCATCCAGCTCAATGACACTCACCCCTCCCTGGCCATCCCAGAGCTGATGCGGATCCTGGTGGATGAGGAGAAGCTTGGCTGGGACAAGGTGGGTCCCATGGGGCAGGCTGGCCCCACCCGTGTGCGCTATGGGGCAGGGCTCTCTGTTAAACCGTCGTGTCTGTGGTCTCTATGGCCTCTATGGGGCTCTATGGCCTCTATGGGGCTCTATGGCCTCTATGGGGCTCTATGCTCCCCACGCTCCCTGTGCTCCCCACGGTCCCTATGCTCCCCATGGTCCCCGTGCTCCCCATGGTCCCCATGCTCCCCACCGTCCCTATGTTCCCCACGGTCCCTGTGCTCCCCTCGGTCCCTATGTTCCCCACGGTCCCTATGCTCCCCACGGTCCCCGTGCTCCCCACGTTCCCTATGTTCCCCTCCGTCCCTATGTTCCCCACACTCCCCACGCTCCCCACGCTCCCCACGGTCCCTATGTTCTCCATGTTCCCCATGCTCCCCACGTTCCCCACGTTCCCCACGCTCCCCATGCTCCCCACGCTCCCCACGGTCCCTATGTTCTCCATGTTCCCCACGCTCCCCACGTTCCCCACGCTCCCCATGTTCCCCACGCTCCCCACGTTCCCTATGTTCCCCACGTTCCCTATGTTCCCCACGCTCCCCATGTTCCCCATGTTCCCCATGTTCCCCATGTTCCCCATGTTCCCCATGATGTTCCCCATGTTCCCCACGTTCCCCATGTTCCCTATGTTCCCCACGTTCCCTATGTTCCCCACGCTCCCCATGTTCCCCACGCTCCCCATGTTCCCCATGTTCCCCATGATGTTCCCCATGTTCCCCATGATGTTCCCCATGATGTTCCCCATGATGTTCCCCACGTTCCCCATGATGTTCCCCATGATGTTCCCCATGATGTTCCCCATGATGTTCCCCATGATGTTCCCCATGATGTTCCCCACGTTCCCCATGATGTTCCCCATGATGTTCCCCATGATGTTCCCCATGTTCCCCATGATGTTCCCCATGATGTTCCCCATGATGTTCCCCATGTTCCCCATGATGTTCCCCATGATGTTCCCCATGATGTTCCCCATGATGTTCCCCATGATGTTCCCCATGATGTTCCCCATGATGTTCCCCATGATGTTCCCCATGTTCCCCATGATGTTCCCCATGATGTTCCCCATGATGTTCCCCATGATGTTCCCCATGTTCCCCATGATGTTCCCCATGATGTTCCCCATGATGTTCCCCACGTTCCCCATGATGTTCCCCATGATGTTCCCCATGATGTTCCCCATGTTCCCCATGATGTTCCCCATGATGTTCCCCATGATGTTCCCCATGTTCCCCATGATGTTCCCCATGATGTTCCCCATGATGTTCCCCATGATGTTCCCCATGATGTTCCCCATGATGTTCCCCATGTTCCCCATGATGTTCCCCATGATGTTCCCCATGATGTTCCCCATGTTCCCCATGATGTTCCCCATGATGTTCCCCATGATGTTCCCCATGATGTTCCCCATGATGTTCCCCATGATGTTCCCCATGATGTTCCCCATGTTCCCCATGATGTTCCCCACGTTCCCCATGATGTTCCCCATGATGTTCCCCACGTTCCCCATGATGTTCCCCATGATGTTCCCCATGATGTTCCCCATGATGTTCCCCATGATGTTCCCCATGATGTTCCCCACGTTCCCCATGATGTTCCCCATGATGTTCCCCATGATGTTCCCCATGTTCCCCATGATGTTCCCCATGATGTTCCCCATGATGTTCCCCATGTTCCCCATGATGTTCCCCATGATGTTCCCCATGATGTTCCCCATGATGTTCCCCATGATGTTCCCCATGATGTTCCCCATGATGTTCCCCATGATGTTCCCCATGTTCCCCATGATGTTCCCCATGATGTTCCCCATGATGTTCCCCATGATGTTCCCCATGTTCCCCATGATGTTCCCCATGATGTTCCCCATGATGTTCCCCACGTTCCCCATGATGTTCCCCATGATGTTCCCCATGATGTTCCCCATGTTCCCCATGATGTTCCCCATGATGTTCCCCATGATGTTCCCCATGTTCCCCATGATGTTCCCCATGATGTTCCCCATGATGTTCCCCATGATGTTCCCCATGATGTTCCCCATGTTCCCCATGATGTTCCCCATGATGTTCCCCATGATGTTCCCCATGTTCCCCATGATGTTCCCCATGATGTTCCCCATGATGTTCCCCATGATGTTCCCCATGATGTTCCCCATGATGTTCCCCATGTTCCCCATGATGTTCCCCATGATGTTCCCCATGTTCCCCATGATGTTCCCCACGTTCCCCATGATGTTCCCCATGATGTTCCCCACGTTCCCCATGATGTTCCCCATGATGTTCCCCATGATGTTCCCCACGTTCCCCATGATGTTCCCCATGATGTTCCCCATGATGTTCCCCATGATGTTCCCCACGTTCCCCATGATGTTCCCCATGATGTTCCCCATGATGTTCCCCATGATGTTCCCCATGATGTTCCCCATGATGTTCCCCACGTTCCCCATGATGTTCCCCATGATGTTCCCCATGATGTTCCCCACGTTCCCCATGATGTTCCCCATGATGTTCCCCATGATGTTCCCCACGCTCCCCAGGCCTGGGCAGTCACTGTCCGCACGTGCGCCTACACGAACCACACGGTGCTGCCCGAGGCGCTGGAGCGCTGGCCCGTGCGGCTGCTGGAGACGCTGCTGCCGCGGCACCTGGAGATCATCTACGAGATCAACCAGCGGTTCCTGGATGTGAGCGGGGCGGGGGGGTGGGGGGTGGGGTGTGGGATATGGGGTGTGGGGTGTGGGGTGTGGGGTGTGGGGTGTGGGATATGGGATATGGGATATGGGATATGGGGTGTGGGATATGGGATATGGGATATGGGGTATGGGATATGGGATATGGGGTGTGGGATATGGGATATGGGATATGGGGTATGGGATATGGGATATGGGGTATGGGATATGGGATATGGGATGTGGGGTGTGGGGTATGGGGTGTGGGGTATGGGATATGGGGTATGAGATACAGGGTGTTGGGTGTGGGATATGGGGTATGGGGTGTGGGATGTGGGATGTGGGGTATGGGATATGGGGTGTGGGGTATGGGATATGGGGTATGGGATATGGGGTATGGGATATGGGGTGTGGGGTATGGGATATGGGGTATGGGATATGGGGTGTGGGGTATGGGATATGGGGTGTGGGGTGTGGGGTATGGGATACGGGGTGTGGGGTATGGGATATGGGGTGTGGGGTGTGGGGTATGGGGTGTGAGATACAGGGTGTGGGGTGTAGGGTGTGGGATATGGGGTGTGGGGTAAGGGATATGGGGTATGAGATACAGGGTGTGGGGTGTGGGAGATGGGGTGTGGGCTACGGGGTATGGGATACAGGGTGTGAGATATGGGATATGGGGTGTGGGATAGGGGGTATGGGATATGGGGTGTGGGGTCTGCAATATGGGGTATGGGATATGGGGTGCGGGATATGGGGTATGGGGTGTGGGATATGGGGTAGTATGGGGTGCAGGATATGGGGTGTAGGATATGGGATATGGGGTATGGGCTGTGGGATATGGGGTATGGGATATGGGGTGTAGGGTGTTGGTATGGGATATGGGGTATGAGATACAGGGTGTGGGGTGTGGGGTATGAGGTGTGGGTATGGGATATGGGTTATGGGGTGTGGAATATGGGATATGGGGTGTAGGATATGGGGAATGGGATACGTGGTGTGGGATATGGGGTGTGGGATATGGGGTATGGGGTGTGGGATATGGGGTGTGGGGACATGCTGTGTCCATGTGGGTCTCTCTGGCTTTGGAGTCCCACCAATGCCGAGCTCCTGGGGTGCTCGTGGGTCCCTGTGTCTCTCTATGAGGTCCCTATGGGTCCCTGTGGGTCCCTGTGTCTCTCTATGTGTCCCTATGGGTCCCTGTGTCTCTCTATGTGTCCCTATGGGTCCCTGTGTCTCTCTATGTGTCCCTATGGGTCCCTGTGTCTCTCTATGTGTCCCTATGGGTCCCTGTGTCTCTCTATGTGTCCCTATGGGTCCCTGTGTCTCTCTATGTGTCCCTATGGGTCCCTGTGTCTCTCTATGGGTCCCTATGGATCCCTGTGTCTCTCTATGGGTCCCTATGTGTCCCTATGGGTCCCTGTGTCTCTCTATGTGTCCCTATGGGTCCCTGTGTCTCTCTATGTGTCCCTATGGGTCCCTGTGTCTCTCTATGTGTCCCTATGGGTCCCTGTGTCTCTCTATGTGTCCCTATGCGTCCCTGTGTCTCTCTATGGGTCCCTATGGATCCCTGTGTCTCTCTATGGGTCCCTATGTGTCCCTATGGGTCCCTGTGTCTATGTGTCCCTATGGGTCCCTGTGTCTCTCTATGTGTCCCTATGGGTCCCTGTGTCTCTCTATGTGTCCCTATGGGTCCCTGTGTCTCTCTATGTGTCCCTATGGGTCCCTGTGTCTCTCTATGTGTCCCTATGGGTCCCTGTGTCTCTCTATGTGTCCCTATGGGTCCCTGTGTCTCTCTATGTGTCCCTATGGGTCCCTGTGTCTCTCTATGTGTCCCTATGCGTCCCTGTGTCTCTCTATGGGTCCCTATGGATCCCTGTGTCTCTCTATGGGTCCCTATGTGTCCCTATGGGTCCCTGTGTCTATGTGTCCCTATGGGTCCCTGTGTCTCTCTATGTGTCCCTATGGGTCCCTGTGTCTCTCTATGTGTCCCTATGGGTCCCTGTGTCTCTCTATGTGTCCCTATGGGTCCCTGTGTCTCTCTATGTGTCCCTATGCGTCCCTGTGTCTCTCTATGGGTCCCTATGGATCCCTGTGTCTCTCTATGGGTCCCTATGTGTCCCTATGGGTCCCTGTGTCTATGTGTCCCTATGGGTCCCTGTGTCTCTCTATGTGTCCCTATGGGTCCCTGTGTCTCTCTATGTGTCCCTATGGGTCCCTGTGTCTCTCTATGTGTCCCTATGGGTCCCTGTGTCTCTCTATGTGTCCCTATGGGTCCCTGTGTCTCTCTATGTGTCCCTATGGGTCCCTGTGTCTCTCTATGTGTCCCTATGGGTCCCTGTGTCTCTCTATGTGTCCCTATGCGTCCCTGTGTCTCTCTATGGGTCCCTATGGATCCCTGTGTCTCTCTATGGGTCCCTATGTGTCCCTATGGGTCCCTGTGTCTATGTGTCCCTATGGGTCCCTGTGTCTCTCTATGTGTCCCTATGGGTCCCTGTGTCTCTCTATGTGTCCCTATGGGTCCCTGTGTCTCTCTATGTGTCCCTATGGGTCCCTGTGTCTCTCTATGTGTCCCTATGGGTCCCTGTGTCTCTCTATGGGTCCCTATGGGTCCCTGTGTCTCTCTATGTGTCCCTATGGGTCCCTGTGTCTCTCTATGTGTCCCTATGGGTCCCTGTGTCTCTCTATGTGTCCCTATGGGTCCCTGTGTCTCTCTATGGGTCCCTATGGGTCCCTGTGTCTCTCTATGTGTCCCTATGGGTCCCTGTGTCTCTCTATGTGTCCCTATGGGTCCCTGTGTCTCTCTATGTGTCCCTATGGGTCCCTGTGTCTCTCTATGTGTCCCTATGGGTCCCTGTGTCTCTCTATGTGTCCCTATGGGTCCCTGTGTCTCTCGATGAGGTCCCTATGGGTCCCTGTGTCTCTCTATGTGTCCCTATGGGTCCCTGTGTCTCTCTATGTGTCCCTATGGGTCCCTGTGTCTCTCTATGTGTCCCTATGGGTCCCTGTGTCTCTCTATGTGTCCCTATGGGTCCCTGTGTCTCTCTATGTGTCCCTATGGGTCCCTGTGTCTCTCTATGTGTCCCTATGGGTCCCTGTGTCTCTCTATGTGTCCCTATGGGTCCCTGTGTCTCTCTATGGGTCCCTATGGGTCCCTGTGTCTCTCTATGGGTCCCTATGGGTCACTGTGGCTCCCCCCCCCAGCGGGTCTACGCCGCCTTCCCCGGGGACCACGAGCGGCTCCGGCGCATGTCGCTGGTGGAGGAGGGCGCCGTGAAGCGCGTGAACATGGCGCATCTCTGCATCGTGGGCGCGCACGCCGTCAACGGCGTGGCCCAGATCCACTCCGACATCCTCAAGAACAGCGTGTACGGAGCCAGAGCGCCCCATGGAGCCCTACAGCACCCCATGGAGCCCTATAGCACCCCATAGAGACCTATAGCACCCCATAGAGACCTATAGCACCCCATGGAGCCCTACAGCACCCCATGGAGCCCTATAGCACCCATAGTGCACTATAGCACCCCATAGAGACCTATAGCACCCCATAGAGACCTATAGCACCCCATAGAGACCTATAGCACCCCATAGAGCCCTATAGCACCCCATAGAGACCTATAGCACCCCATAGAGACCTATAGCACCCATAGAGACCTATAGCACCCCATAGAGACCTATAGCACCCCATGGAGCCCTATAGCACTCCATAGAGACCTATAGCACCCCATAGAGACCTATAGCACCCCATAGAGCCCTATAGCACCCCATAGAGCCCTATAGCACCCCATGGAGCCCTATAGCACCCCATAGAGACCTATAGCACCCCATGGAGCCCTATAGCACCCCATAGAGCCCTATAGCACCCCATAGAGCCCTATAGCACCCCATGGAGCCCTATAGCACCCCATAGAGACCTATAGCACCCCATAGAGACCTATAGCACCCCATGGAGCCCTATAGCACCCCATAGAGCCCTATAGCACCCCATAGAGACCTATAGCACCCCATAGAGACCTATAGCACCCCATAGAGCCCTATAGCACCCCATGGAGCCCTATAGCACCCCATAGAGACCTATAGCACCCCATAGAGACCTATAGCACCCCATAGAGCCCTATAGCACCCCATAGAGACCTATAGCACCCCATGGAGACCTATAGCACCCCATAGAGCCCTATAGCACCCATAGTGCCCTATAACACCCCATGGAGCCCTATAGCACCCCATAGAGACCTATAGCACCCCATAGAGCCCTATAGCACCCCATAGAGACCTATAGCACCCATAGTGCCCTATAGCACCCCATAGAGCCCTATAGCACCCCATGGAGCCCTATAGCACCCCATAGAGCCCTATAGCACCCCATAGAGACCTATAGCACCCCATAGAGACCTATAGCACCCATAGTGCCCTATAGCACCCCATGGAGCCCTATAGCACCCCATAGAGACCTATAGCACCCCATAGAGACCTATAGCACCCATAGTGCCCTATAGCACCCCATAGAGACCTATAGCACCCCATGGAGCCCTATAGCACCCCATAGAGCCCTATAGCACCCCATAGAGACCTATAGCACCACATGGAGCCCTATAGCACCCCATGGAGCCCTATAGCACCCCATAGAGACCTATAGCACCCCATGGAGCCCTACAGCACCCCATAGAGCCCTATAGCACCCCATAGAGCCCTATAGCACCCCATGGAGCGCTATAGCACCCCATAGAGCCCTATAGCACCCCATGGAGCCCTATAGCACCCCATAGAGACCTATAGCACCCCATAGAGACCTATAGCACCCCATAGAGCCCTATAGCACCCCATGGAGCCCTATAGCACCCCATAGAGACCTATAGCACCCCATAGAGACCTATAGCACCCATAGTGCCCTATAGCACCCCATAGAGACCTATAGCACCCCATGGAGCCCTATAGCACCCCATAGAGCCCTATAGCACCCCATAGAGACCTATAGCACCACATGGAGCCCTATAGCACCCCATGGAGCCCTATAGCACCCCATAGAGACCTATAGCACCCCATGGAGCCCTATAGCACCCCATAGAGCCCTATAGCACCCCATAGAGCCCTATAGCACCCCATGGAGCCCTATAGCACCCCATAGAGACCTATAGCACCCCATAGAGCCCTATAGCACCCCATGGAGCCCTATAGCACCCCATAGAGACCTATAGCACCCCATAGAGCCCTATAGCACCCCATAGAGACCTATAGCACCTCATAGAGACCTATAGCACCCCATAGAGCCCTATAGCACCCCATGGAGCCCTATAGCACCCCATAGAGACCTATAGCACCCCATAGAGACCTATAGCACCCATAGTGCCCTATAGCACCCCATAGAGACCTATAGCACCCCATAGAGACCTATAGCACCCCATAGAGCCCTATAGCACCCCATAGAGACCTATAGCACCCCATAGAGACCTATAGCACCACATGGAGCCCTATAGCACCCCATGGAGCCCTATAGCACCCCATAGAGACCTATAGCACCCCATGGAGCCCTATAGCACCCCATAGAGCCCTATAGCACCCCATAGAGCCCTATAGCACCCCATGGAGCCCTATAGCACCCCATAGAGACCTATAGCACCCCATAGAGACCTATAGCACCCCATGGAGCCCTATAGCACCCCATGGAGCCCTACAGCACCCCATAGAGACCTATAGCACCCCATGGAGCCCTATAGCACCCCATAGAGACCTATAGCACCCCATAGAGCCCTATAGCACCCCATAGAGACCTATAGCACCCCATAGAGCCCTATAGCATCCCATAGAGACCTATAGCACCCCATAGAGCCCTATAGCACCCCATAGAGACCTATAGCACCCCATGGAGCCCTATAGCACCCCATAGAGCCCTATAGCACCCCATGGAGCCCTATAGCACCCCATAGAGACCTATAGCACCCCATAGAGCCCTATAGCACCCCATAGAGACCTATAGCACCCATAGTGCCCTATAGCACCCCATAGAGCCCTATAGCACCCCATAGAGCCCTATAGCACCCCATAGAGACCTATAGCACCCCATAGAGACCTATAGCACCCATAGTGCCCTATAACACCCCATGGAGCCCTATAGCACCCCATAGAGACCTATAGCACCCCATAGAGCCCTATAGCACCCCATAGAGACCTATAGCACCCATAGTGCCCTATAGCACCCCATAGAGCCCTATAGCACCCCATGGAGCCCTATAGCACCCCATAGAGACCTATAGCACCCCATAGAGACCTATAGCACCCATAGTGCCCTATAGCACCCCATAGAGACCTATAGCACCCCATAGAGACCTATAGCACCCCATAGAGCCCTATAGCACCCCATGGAGCCCTATAGCACCCCATAGAGCCCTATAGCACCCCATAGAGACCTATAGCACCCCATGGAGCCCTATAGCACCCCATAGAGCCCTATAGCACCCCATGGAGCCCTATAGCACCCCATAGAGACCTATAGCACCCCATAGAGACCTATAGCACCCATAGAGACCTATAGCACCCCATAGAGACCTATAGCACCCCATAGAGACCTATAGCACCCATAGAGACCTATAGCACCCATAGCACCCATAGTGCCCCATAGCACCCACAGTGCCCCATAGCGCCCTATAGCACCCCATAGAGCCCTATAGCACCCCATAGAGCCCTATAGCACCCATAGTGCCCCATAGCACCCATAGTGCCCCATAGCGCCCTATAGCACCCCATAGAGCCCTATAGCACCCCATAGAGCCCTATAGCACCCATAGTGCCCCATAGCGCCCCATAGCGCCCTATAGCACCCCATAGAGCCCTATAGCACCCATAGTGCCCCATAGCACCCATAGCGCCCCATAGCGCCCTATAGCACCCCATAGAGCCCTATAGCACCCCATAGAGCCCTATAGCACCCATAGTGCCCCATAGCACCCCATAGCGCCCTATAGCACCCCATAGAGCCCTATAGCACCCATAGCACCCATAGCACCCATAGTGCCCCATAGCGCCCATAGTGCCCCATAGCGCCCATAGTGACCATAGCACCCCAAAGCACCCATAGTGCCCCATAGCGCCCCATAGTGCCCCTTAGCACCCATAGTGCCCCATAGCGCCCCATAGCACCCCATAGCACCCATAGTGCACCATAGCGCCCTATAGCACCCATAGCGCCCCAGAGCACCCATAGTGCCCCATAGCACCTAGTGCACCACAGTGCCCCATAGTGCCCCATAGCGCCCCATAGCACCCATAGTGCCCCATAGAGCCCCATAGTACCCATAGCGCCCCATAGAACCCCATAGCACCCATAGTGCCCCATAGCACCCCATAGCACCCATAACGCCCCATAGCACCCCTAGTGTCCATAGCACCCCATAGCACCCATAGTGCCCCATAGCGCCCTATAGCACCCCCATAGAGCCCTATAGCACCCATAGTGCCCCATAGCACCCATAGTGCCCCATAGCGCCCTATAGCACCCATAACGCCCCATAGCACCCATAGTGCCCCAAAGCGCCCTATAGCACCCATAGTGCCCCATAGCGCCTATAGTGCCCCATAGCACCCATAGTGCCCCATAGCGCCCATAGTGACCATAGCACCCCAGAGCACCCATAGTGCCACATAGCGCCCCATAGTGCCCCTTAGCACCCATAGTGCCCCATAGCGCCCCATAGTGCCCCATAGCGCTCAGTGCCCACAGTGCCCCATAGCGCCCATAGTTCCCATAGTGCCCCATAGCACCCACAGCGCCCCATAGCGCCCATAGTGTCCATAGTACCCCATAGCACCCATAGTGCCCCATAGCGCCCCACAGCACCCATAGCACCCATAGTGCCCCATGGCACCCATAGTGCCCCATAGCGCCCATAGTTCCCATAGTGCCCCATAGCGCCCATAGTGCCCCATAGCGCCTCATAGCACACATAGTGCCCCATGGCACCCATAGTACCCCATAGCGCCCATAGTTCCCATAGTGCCCCATAGCGCCCATAGTGCCCCATAGTGCCTCATAGCACACATAGTGCCCATAGCACCCATAGTGCCCCATAGCGCCCATAGTGACCATAGCACCCCATAGTACCCCATAGCACCCCATAGTGCCCATTGCACCCATAGCGCCCCATAGTGCCCCATAACACCCCAGCATCTATAGAAACCATAGTGCCCCCATTGCACCCATAGCGCCCCTATAGCACCCATAGTGCCTCCATAGCACCCCAGAACACCCCATAGTGCGTATTGCATCTCAGAGCACCCATAGCACCCATCAGTGTCCCATAGCACTTCATAGCACCCATAGTGCCCATAGCACCCATAGCCCCCATAGTGCTCCATAGTTACCATAGTGCCCCATGGCGTCCCATAGCCCCCATAGTTACCATATTGCCCCACAGCATCCCATAGCCCCCATAGTTACCACAGTGCCCCACAGCATCCCATAGCCCCCATAGTGCCCCATAGCATCCCATAGCCCCCATAGTTACCATAGTGCCCCATAGCATCCCATAGCCCCCATAGTTACCATAGTGCCCCATAGCATCCCATAGCCCCCATAGCCCCCATAGTTACCATAGTGCCCCATAGCATCCCATAGCCCCCATAGCACCATCAACAGTGTCGTGCGCATCCATTCCGACATCCTCAAGAGCAGTGTGTACAGACCCCATAGTTACCCTAGTGCCCCACAGTGCCCCATAGCGTCCCATAGCCCCCATCCCTCAATCACCCCAGCTCCATCCCTTGTCCCCATCTCCATCCCCACCCCTGTCTTGTCTTTGCTCTCAGCCCCATAGCCTATGGGTCCCCACCAGTCATTTGGGGGTCCTTGGGAGTCACTGGGGGTCCCCATGGCTGTGGGCTCTTGTCCCCATAGGTGTTGTCACTGTGGGCCCCCATGGATCCCTATGGCCGTGGGTCCCCATCCTCATGGGTCCCCATCCATTGCCGTGGGCCCCATGGTTGCCTATGTCAATGTGTCCCTATGGGTCTCTATGGGTCCCTATGGGTCTCTATGGGTCCCTATGGGTCCCCACGGGTCCCTATGGGTCTCTATGGGTCCCTATGGGTCTGACCCTGCCTTGTGGGGCAGGTTCAAGGACTTCTATGACCTGGAGCCCAAGAAGTTCCAGAACAAGACCAATGGGATCACGCCGCGGCGCTGGCTCCTGCTCTGCAACCCGGGGCTGGCCGACGCCATCGCCCAGGTGAGCCCTATGGGGGGCTATGGGGCTCTGTGGGGCTCTATGGTCTCTATGGGGCTCTGTGGGGCTCTATGGTCTCTATAGGTCTCTATGGGCTCTATGGGTCTCTATGGGCTCTATGGGTCTCTATGGGCTCTATGGGTCTCTATGGGTCTCTGTGGTCTCTCTGGGTCTCTGTGGTCTCTATGGGGTTCTATGGGTCTCTTTGGGTCTCTCTGGTCTCTCTGGGTCTCTATGGGTTTCTGTGGGCTCTGTGGGTCTCTCTCTGGGTCTCTCTGGGTCTCTCTGGGTCTCTCTGGTCTCCATGGGTCTCTCTGGGTCTCTATTGTCTCTATGGGTCTCTCTGGTCTCCATGGGTCTCTCTATGGGTCTCTATGGTCTCTGTGGGTCTCTCTATGGGTCTCTCTGGTCTCCATGGGTCTCTATGGGTCTCTCTGGGTCTCTCTGGTCTCCATGGGTCTCTCTGGGTCTCTCTGGTTTCTATGGGTCTCTATGTGTCTCTATGGGTCTCTATGGGTCTCTATGGGTCTCTATGGGTCTCCATGGGTCTCTATGTGTCTCTATGGGTCTCTATGGGTCTCTATGGGTCTCTATGGTCTCTATGGGTCTCCATGGGTCTCTCAGGGTCTCTCTGCTCTCCATGGGTCCCCATGGGTCTCTCTGGGTCTCTCTGGGTCTCCATGGGTCTCTCTGGGTCTCTCAGGGTCTCTATGGGTCTCTATGGGTCTCTATGGTCTCTCTGGGTCTCCATGGGTCTCTCAGGGTCTCCATGGGTCTCTATGGGTCTCCATGGGTCTCTATGGGTCTCTCTGCTCTCCATGGGTCTCTCTGGGTCTCCATGGGTCTCTGCCCTCCGTGTCCCCAGCGCATCGGGGAAGGTTTCGTGTCAGACCTGGACCAGCTCCAGAAGCTCCGCGGCTTCGTGGATGACGAGAGCTTCATCCGGGACGTGGCGGCCGTCAAGCAGGTCCCGGGGGGCAATGGGGGGCAATGGGGGGCAATGGGGTCCCTGCAGTGGGGTGCAGGGGGGGGTCCCTCACCCTGTGCCCCCTTCCCACCCCACAGGAGAACAAGGTGAAGTTCGCGGCGTTCCTGGAGAAGGAATACGGGGTGCGCGTGAACCCGGCCTCGCTCTTCGACGTCCAGGTCAAGCGCATCCATGAGTACAAGCGGCAGCTCCTCAACTGCCTCCACGTCATCACCCTCTACAACAGTGAGAGCCCCACACTTATGGGACCCCCGGGCGCCCACACCCCCTATGGGACAGCCAATGGGATACCCCAATGGGATACCCCAATGGGATACCGCAATGGGACAGCCAATGGGATACCCCAATGGGACAGCCAATGGGATACCGCAATGGGACAGCCAATGGGATACCCCAATGGGATACCCCAATGGGATACCGCAATGGGACAGCCAATGGGATACCCCAATGGGATACCGCAATGGGATACCGCAATGGGATACCGCAATGGGACAGCCAATGGGATACCCCAATGGGATACCCCAATGGGATACCGCAATGGGATACCCCAATGGGATACCGCAATGGGACAGCCAATGGGATACCCCAATGGGATACCGCAATGGGATACCGCAATGGGACAGCCAATGGGATACCCCAATGGGATACCCCAATGGGATACCGCAATGGGACAGCCAATGGGATACCCCAATGGGATACCGCAATGGGATACCCCAATGGGACAGCCAATGGGATACCCCAATGGGATACCGCAATGGGATACCGCAATGGGACAGCCAATGGGATACCCCAATGGGATACCGCAATGGGATACCGCAATGGGATACCGCAATGGGACAGCCAATGGGATACCCCAATGGGATACCCCAATGGGACAGCCAATGGGATACCCCAATGGGATACCGCAATGGGATACCCCAATGGGACAGCCAATGGGATACCCCAATGGGATACCGCAATGGGATACCCCAATGGGACAGCCAATGGGATACCCTAATGGGACACTCCTATGGGACACCGAATAGGACACCCAATGAGACACTCAATAGGACACCCAATGGAATACCCCTATGGGACACTCCTATGGGACACCCCAATGGGATACCCCAATGGGACGCTCCTATGGGACACCCAATGGGATACCCCAATGGGACCTCCAATGGGATACCCCAATGGGATGCTCCTATGGGACACCCAATGGGATACCCCAATGGGACACTCCTATGGGACACCCAATGGGACACTCCTATGGGACACCCAATGGGATACCCCAATGGGACCTCCAATGGGATACCCCAATGGGATGCTCCTATGGGACACCCAATGGGATACCCCAATGGGACACTCCTATGGGACACCCAATGGGACACTCCTATGGGACACCCAATGGGATACCCCAATGGGACCTCCAATGGGATACCCCAATGGGATGCTCCTATGGGACACCCAATGGGATACCCCAATGGGACACTCCTATGGGACACCCAATGGGACGCTCCTATGGGACACCCAATGGGATACCCTAATGGGACACTCCTATGGGACACCGAATAGGACACCCAGTGAGACACTCAATAGGACACCCAATGGGATACCCCAATGGGACCTCCAATAGGACACCCAATGGGATACCGCAATGGGATGCTCCTATGGGACACCCAATGGGATACCCCAATGGGACCTCTAATAGGACACCCAATGGAATACTCCTATGGGACACCCAATGGGATACCCCAATGTGACCTCCAATAGGACACCCAATGGGACACTCAATAGGACACCCAATGGAATACTCCTATGGGACACCCAATGGGACATTCCTATGGGACCCCCAATAGGATACCCCAATGGGACCTCCAATAGGACACCCAATGGAATACCCCAATGGGACACCCCAATGGGACACCCAATGGGACACTCCTATGGGACACCCAATGGGATACCCCAATGGGACCTCCAATGGGATACCCCAATGGGATGCTCCTATGGGACACCCAATGGGATAACTCTATGGGACACCCAAGGGGCACCCAATAGGACACCCAATGGGACACTCAAAAGGACACCCAATGGAACATCCCCTGTGGGACACCCAATGGGATACCCCTATGGGACACTGGATGGAACATCTCTATGGGACACCCAATGGGACAACCCCTATGGGATACCCCTGTGGGACCCCCAATAGGACACCAAATGGGACACCACTATGGGACATCCATGGATTCCCCCTATGGGACCCCCAATGTAACACTCAACGGGACACCCCAGTGGGACACCCCAATGGGACTCGCCTATGGGACACCCACGGATTCCCCCTATGGGGCACCCAATGGGACACCCCATGGAACACCCCCATGGACCCCCCCCAATGGGACACCCCTAGGGGACACCCAATGGGACCCCCAAAGGGACACCCTATGGGACACCCCCATGGATCACCGCTATGGGACACCCCAATGGGACATCCATGGATTCCCCCTATGGGACCCCCTATGGGACACCCGTAGGGGACACCCAATGGGACCCCTTATGGGACACCCCAATGGGACACCCTACGGGACACCCCCATGGATCACCCCTATGGGACACCCCTAGGGGACCCCCAATGGGACTCCCCTATGGGACATCCATGGATTCCCCCTATGGAACCCCCAATGGGACACCCCTAGGGGACACCCAATGGGACCCCCTATGGGACACCCCAATGGGACCCCCAATGGGACACCCCAATGGGACACTCCACAGGAATGCCCATGGCCCCCAGTGCCCCCCCCCCAACCCCACAGACCCCAACATCCCCCCCCCCCAACACCCCCTCATTGGGGGGTCCCAGCTACAATTTGGGCCCCCCCTTGATCGAGCTCCCCCCTTGCAGGGATCAAGAAGGACCCCAGCAAACCCATTGTGCCCCGAACCGTCATGATCGGGGGCAAGGTGAGGATGGGGGGGGGACGGGGATGACTCCAGGGGGTCCCCATGGGTTTGGGGGTGCCGCTGACCCCTTTCCCCCCCCCCCCAGGCTGCCCCCGGGTACCACATGGCCAAGATGATCATCAAACTGGTGACGTCCATCGGGGACATCGTCAACCACGACCCGGCCGTGGGCGACCGCCTCCGGGTGCTCTTCCTGGAGAACTACCGCGTGTCGCTGGCCGAGAAGGGTGCGGACACAAAGAGCCCCGAAACAGCCCCAAAGAGCCCCAAAACAGCCCCAAAGAGCCAGAAAACAGCCCCAAAGAGCCCCAAACAGCCCCGAAACAGCCCCAAAGAGCCCCAATGAGCCCCAAAGAGCCCCCAAATGGCACAAAAGAGCCCCAAAACAGCCCCAAAGAGCCCCAAAGAGCCCCGAAACAGCCCCAAAGAGCCCCAAAACAGCCCCAAAGAGCCCCAAAACAGCCCCAAACAGCCCCAAAGAGCCCCAAAACAGCCCCAAAGAGCCCCAAAACAGCCCCAAAGAGCCCCAAAGAGCCCCGAAACAGCCCCAAAGAGCCCCAAAACAGCCCCAAACAGCCAGAAAACAGCCCCCAAAGAGCCCCGAAACAGCCCCAAAGAGCCCCAAAACAACCCCAAAGAGCCCCAAAACAGCCCCAAAGAGCCCCGAAACAACCCCAAAGAGCCCCAAAACAGCCCCAAACAGCCCCAAACAACCCCAAAGAGCCCCAAAACAGCCCCGAAACAGCCCCAAAGAGCCCCGAAACAGCCCCAAAGAGCCCCAAAACAGCCCCGAACAGCCCCAAAACAGCCCCAAAGAGCCCCAAAACAGCCCCAAAGAGCCCCAATGAGCCCCAAGCAGCCCCGAAACAGCCCCGAAGAGCCCCAATGAGCCCCCAAACAGACCCGAAACAGCCCCAAAGAGCCCCCAAATGGCACAAAAGAGCCCCAAAGAGCCCCAAAACAGCCCCAAAGAGCCCCGAAACAGCCCCAAAACAGCCCCAAAGAGCCCCAAAACAGCCCCGAAACAGCCCCAAAGAGCCCCCAAATGGCAGAAAAGAGCCCCAAAGAGCCCCGAAACAGTCCAAAAGAGCCCCGAAACAGCCCCAAAGTGCTCCAAAACAGCCCCAAAGAGCCCCAAACAGCCCAAAACAGCCCCAAAACAGCCCCAAAGAACCCGAAACAGCCCCAAAACAGCCCCAAAACACCCCAAAGAGCCCCGAAACAGACCCAGAACAGCCAAAAGAGCTCCAAAACAGCCCCAAACAGCCCAAAGCAGCCCCAAACAGCACCAAAAGAGCCTGAAACACCCCAAAACAGCCTGAAACCAGCTCAAAACCAGCCCAAAGCAGGCCAGAACAGCCCCAAACCAGCCTGAACCAGCCCCAAACCACCACCAGAACAGCCCCCAAAACACCCCCCCCCCCCCCATGGGGCCAAACACCCCCTCAAACACGCCCAAAACACCCCAAAACCAGCCCCAGTACTGCCCCAGGCACCCCAATACCACCCTGGTAACAACGTGGGTCCCCCCATTCTTGCCCCAGTGCACCCCAATAGCGACCTGATACCACCCTGGTTTTGGTCCTGGGCACCCCAATACCCCCACTGACACCCCCATATCCCCTTGGGTACCCCAATATCATCCCAATATCCCCCAGGCACCCCAATATCAACCCAGTATCATCCTGGGCACCCCAATACCCCCCAGGCGCCCCATTCCCACACCACGCACCCGAATGCCAGCCATCAAATCCCTCCAATCCCATCCCTCCCATCCTATTCGGCACATTTTATCCTGACTTTCTCATGCATCCATCCTATCCCCTCCTCTCCCCTCCCATCCCATCCCATCCCATTGCATCCTGTCCCATCCATCCCCTCCCATCCCATCCATCCCATCCCATCCATCCTATCCCCTCCCATCCCCTCCCCATCCCCATCCCATCAATCCATCCCATCCCCTCCCATCCACCCCACCCCCACCATCCATCCCCTCCATCCCATCCCTTCCATCCCACCCCATCCCTCCCATCCAACCCCATCCATCCCCTCCCATCCCATCCATTCATCCGATCCCACCCCATCCACCCCATCCCATCCATCCCCATCCACCCCATCCCATCCATCCCCATCCACCCCATCCCATCCATCCCATCCCATCCCCATCCCATCCCATCCCATCCATCCCATCCCATCTCATCCCATCCCATAAATCCTATCCCCTCCCATCCCATCCCACCCCATCCCCATCCACCCCATCCCATCCATCCCACCCCATCCCATCCATCCATCCCATCCAATCCATCCCATCCCCTCCCATCCCCTCCATCCCATCCCACCCCATCCCATCCATCCCATCCAACCCCATCCATCCCAACCCATCCCCTCCCATCCCATCCCATCCCCTCCATCCCATCCCCTCCATCCCATCCCATCCATCCCATCCATCCCATCCATCCCATCCCACCCCATCCCATCCATCCCATCCAACCCCATCCATCCCAACCCATCCCCTCCATCCCATCCCATCCCCTCCATCCCATCCCCTCCATCCCATCCCATCCATCCCATCCATCCATCCCACCCCATCCCCTCCACCCCACCCCACCCCCCCGCCCGCACCCCACCCCCCCCGTGTCCCCGCGCAGTGATCCCGGCCGCGGACCTCTCGGAGCAGATCTCCACGGCGGGCACGGAGGCCTCGGGCACGGGGAACATGAAGTTCATGCTCAACGGGGCGCTCACCATCGGCACCATGGACGGCGCCAACGTGGAGATGGCCGAGGAGGCGGGCGAGGAAAACCTCTTCATCTTCGGCATGCGCGTGCCCGACGTCGAGGCGCTCGACAGGAAGGGGTGCGTCAGCGCGGCGACACAGAGACACACAGAGAGACCCACAGAGACCCATAGAGACCCACAGAGACACAGAGAGACCCATAGAGCCCATAGAGACCCAGGAGACACCCATAGAGCCCACAGAGACCCATAGAGACCATAGAGACACATAGAGACCCATAGAGACACATAGAGACACATAGAGACACATAGAGACCCATAGAGCCCATAGAGACCCATAGAGACACATAGAGACACATAGAGACCCATAGAGCCCATAGAGACCCAGAGACACCCATAGAGCCCACAGAGACCCATAGAGACCATAGAGACACATAGAGACCCATAGAGACACATAGAGACACATAGAGACACATAGAGACCCATAGAGCCCATAGAGACCCATAGAGACACATAGAGACACATAGAGACCCATAGAGCCCATAGAGACCCAGAGACACCCATAGAGCCCACAGAGACCCATAGAGACCCATAGAGACACATAGAGACCCATAGAGCCCATAGAGACCCAGAGACACCCATAGAGCCCACAGAGACCCATAGAGACCCATAGAGACACATAGAGACCCATAGAGCCCACAGAGCCCATAGAGCCCCATAGAGACCCAGAGACACCCATAGAGCCCCATAGAGACCCAGAGACACCCATAGAGCCCATAGAGACCCAGAGACACCCATAGAGCCCACAGAGACCCATAGAGACCCATAGAGACACATAGAGACACATAGAGCCCATAGAGACCCATAGAGACCCAGAGACACCCATAGAGTCCATAGAGACCCATAGAGACACAGAGAGACCCATAGAGCCCATAGAGACCCAGAGACACTCATAGAGCCCACAGAGACCCACAGAGACCCATAGAGACCCATAGAGCCCATAGAGACCCATAGAGACACATAGAGACCCAGAGAGACCCAGAGACACCCATAGAGCCCACAGAGACCCATAGAGACCCAGAGACACCCATAGAGCCCACAGAGACCCATAGAGACCCATAGAGACCCTGAGAGACCCTGAGAGACCCTGAGAGACCCAGAGACACCCATAGAGCCCACAGAGACCCATAGAGACACATAGAGACCCATAGAGCCCAGAGAGACCCAGAGAGACCCAGAGACACCCAGAGACACCCATAGAGCCCACAGAGACCCATAGAGACACATAGAGACCCATAGAGCCCATAGAGACCCATAGAGACCCAGAGACACCCATAGAGACCCAGAGAGACACATAGAGCCCACAGAGACCCATAGAGACCATAGAGATCCATAGAGACCCAGAGAGACCCATAGAGACACATAGAGACCATAGAGACCCATAGAGACCAGAGAGACCCATAGGGACCCACAGAGACACATAGAGCCCATAGAGACACATAGAGACCCATAGTGTTCTAGAGAGCCCCATCACAACCCAAAAAGTCCTATAGAGACCCACAGAGACCCATAGAGCCCATAGAGACCCATAGAGCCCCATCACAACCCAGAGAATCCTATAGAGCCCCATAGCAACCCATAGTGCCCTAGAGAGCCCCATAGTGTCCTATAGAGCCCCATAGCTACCCATAGTGCCCTAGAGAGCCCATCACAACCCATAGAGCCCCACAGAGACCCATAGAGCCCCACAGTGCCCTATAGAGCCCCATTGCAATCCAGAGAGTCCTATAGAGCCCCATCGCAACCCAGAGTCCTATAGAGCCCCATAGCAACCCATAGTGCCCTATAGAGCCCATCGCAACCCATAGTGCCCTATAGAGCCCCATAGTGTCCTATAGAGCCTCATAGCAACCCATAGTGCCCTATAGAGCCCCATAGCAACCCGTGGTGCCCTATAGAGCCCCATAGCAACCCGTAGTGCCCTACAGAACCTCATCGCAACCCACAGAGCCCTACAGCGCCCCATAGTGTCCTATAGAGCCTCATTGCAACCCATAGTGCCCCCAGAGGGCCCTCAGCACCCCATAGCCCTCTATAGCCCCATAGCCTCCTATAGACCCATAGACACATAGCCCCCTCTAGCTTCATAGCCCCATAGACCCCCATAGCCCCATAGCCCTCCATAGCCCCATATAGCCCCATAGACTTCCATAGCTCTCCATAGCCCCATAGCCTCATAGTCCTCCATAGCCCCTATAACCCTCCATAGTCTCCAATAGCCCCATAGCCCCGCCTCCCCATAGCCCTCTATAGACCCCCATAGGACCCCATAGCCTCATTGCCCTCCATAGCCGCCCACAGCCTCATAGCCCCCTATAGCCCCCTAGCCTCATAGCCCTCCATAGCCCCCCTACGACCCCATAGCCTCATAGCCCTCCATAGCCCCCATAACCCTCCATAGCCCCCTATAGCCCCATAACCCTCCATAGCCCCCCATAGGACCCCATAGCCCCATAGCCCTCCATAGCCCCCCCATAGCCCCATAGCCTCATAGCCCTCCATAGCCCCCCATAGGACCTCATAGCCCTCCATAGCCCCCCATA